AAATAAAAAAAAAAACAAAAAGTAAAAGGTGAAAGATTTATACATGAATGAAGAGAAACCCAATCTATCTATCGTCAGATCAGCAGATCCAACTGTGCTGCAACATACAAATCTGCCCTAGTTTCACTTCCAAAACAGGAACTAAAGACTTCTCTCACTCTTCTCCATCCACTCTCATCATTTTTTTTCTCTTTTTCTGTTTTTCATCACCTCCTGGTACTTGCACTCCTCTGGTGAGAGGATGTTCAGGATACCGCTTTCCTGGACAATAGGCTGGTCCTGCCACAGCGTCCTCTGGAAGGAAATAGGACTGCTTCTCAAGCAGTTGGGGCTGAGCCGCGGGGGTCCGTGATCCATCGGGTAATCGGCGCTCGTCTTACTGATGCTACGACACACCGTCTGCCGTCGGATCTCCCTCGATATGTAGGTTTCAGTGTAAATCTGGTACAGAAGCTCTGAATTGTGGACAAAATGTAAACAAACATATTGTGAATGGAATATTTCATTTAAAGCAGCGCTACTGAATAATTACTGAATTAAAGGTGCAGTCTGTAATTTCTTGAAAGTATCCCTAGCCATGTCATAACCATATTTATAAAATTATAATAAATTTCTAATTTATAAAGTTATATGTTCACACACTGCAGATGAAATTTATTCTTAAACTATAGAAGCAAACATAACATACTGTCTTATCTAATTCTTCATTAAAGGTGCAGTTTGTAAATTTTAAAAGTGGTCCCAGACCTGCAAAGAAGGTGAAGACTTACCCATGTTTACATTGCAATTGCAATTCATCTTACAGACAGATGGGGTAAATTACAAACTGCCCCTTTAAATCAATCCCTACACCAATCTATCTAAGAATTTTGAAATTAGTATCAGTAATACTGACATATCATTTAGACACAAAACTCTAAGCAATGCATTGCAGGAGGTTCTCCGTTTTGATTTACATCACAGCACTGTAGGATTCTTGAATCTGATTGGTCGGAAGATGTTTATATTAATGAGCTCATTCTCATACGTTATCGTTTCTATACTAACAACTTACACAGGGACTTATATGAGGGATGAGCTACATAAACCGATTAAACACGTGTAATTGTTGATATGGTGTTTTCTGTAAGGAGATGTTTATTTAAAATTTAGGGAAGGAGTCTCCAGTGTCAGTGTTTTGTAACAGTCAGAGGTAAAGCTTTAACTTTACGATTTTAAAAAATTGTTAGAATTGACAAACTGCTGTGATGTAAAAGGAGTAAAATATTTCAGGATTTGGATCGACTTCATTGTTGATTATATCCCTATAACAGCCAGCCATCTGGCTACAAATTAGCGCACTATGAAGTAAACAAGGTGCAGTTTTAGATGTAGCATTAACTTCTGGAGGAAAAACTCAGAAGCACTCATACCTTCCGGCATATTAGCCTCTATATCAACCGACTTCTTTCGAGTGAGGCCAGTAGATCGTCTGGGAACAGAAGAAAATTATACAGATTGCAGAAAGTCCATAAAAGGAAACGTACAGTACTATAATTATGAAGGATGTCATTACCTTTGCTCCTTGTTTTCAGTTTCATCTCCACCATGGCTTTGATCGTCTTCACCTTTTTTTTTTTTAAAAGAAAAGTCGAGGAATTAGAAATGACAAAGTAAAAAGCAATTTACAACAACACCAACCTCACAGTGATCATTATTAATTAAACTTGCAGATTTAAGCACCTTAGAGTGATTTAGCGGTGATTTGATGATGCGGCTTATGTACAGACCCTGTACAATGACACTCCTCATTTTACTCCCACGTACATATAATTTACTCATTTACACACATGCTGTGATAAGTAGGATATTAACAGAAGCCATTTGGCACGCTACAGTCATGCATGGTTAAAAACTATGAGGAAACATGTCAATCAAAAGGGAAGTTTGTGTCCAAAGTTGTTTTTTGTAGCCTCAAAAATAACCACGGAGCGAGTGCAATAAAATAACAACTGCTGTTATTACAGCTCCTCAAGTGCTTGTCTATCTAGCTACATTTCTGATTGGGCAAAAGGTGTTGATTAATCATCTATAACAGCAGCTCTGACAGTAGTGCAGGTTTATACTGATGCACTAAAGTTTCTATAGTAACAGTTCCTTCACAAGGAACTTGTATGGAAGACGCTCCACATAATCTATGATGAAGTCATTTTAAAAATGTGCTGCTGTTTAACAAATAAAACCGTCCAATTGTTGATATGGTGAAGTTTTTCTATAGCATTCATGGAAGGAGTCTCCAGTGTCAGTGCTTTGTAACAGTCAGAGGTAAAGCTGACTTCAGGACAGAGGAGTTTATGCTTTGCGGTTTCTTGGTAACATGACGAGCTGCGGTTTTATTTCTAGCTTATTAACTTCAAGAGAGAGAAAAAAGAGAAGCTAGTGAAGGAACGACTGTTTATAGCTGCTATAAAGTAAGTAAGAACTTGTTTCATGAACGTTTTACAGCATTAAATGTAACTATAAACAGATAAAAAGTGTAACAGGTCGTTCTTTAATAAATGAAATACTGTAATTGTTAGCAATTCGCTGTGGAATAAAATACTTCAGGTTGTCCTGTTACAGGAAAGTAATCAACTTCAGGGTGGTAAGAGTTACCCTGCTTCATCACACTGCTTCATCACACTGCCATGCTGTGATTAGTTTCCTATAACAGCATGCCCCCAATGTGGATAGTAGGACTAATGAGCTAATAAAGCTTGCTATGATTGCTGATTATAATAAAGTTAATATTAAATATGAAGTGTTATTCAGGTTTTTGAAATTATAAATCTGAAATGCACACACACACACACACACACACGTGTACAGATTAAGATTAAGGTGGAATTTGTGTATATTTTATGATCAGATTTGACCGTACACCACTTTTATGTATGTAGTAATTAAGAATTGATTATATAGTGCTTGTTATCTCTTTTGAATCACCTTCACATGTCTGAGAGAGGTTGCTCAGGAGTCTGTCTTTGGCTTTGGTTGGAGGAGGTGGCGGTGGTTGTCGAACTGGCTGCAGGCGTTCACTGGAACCTTGATCTGCAGAAGGCAGCTTTGGGAGTTGGAATGCTCCCGGTAGTGGAGATAGTGGAACTCTTCTGGGAACGTATCGCCCTTTGGTTTTATCCAGAGGCTTCCGGGGTGGAACGGCAGGAGCAGATTTGTTCACTTGGATTTCAGGTATGGTAGGAGTTTCCTCGGCTGTCTCTCTGGGAGGAATGATCAAATCGATCGTGGCTTCATAAACAGACTCCTCTTCTGATGCAGAGTGGGTCTTGGTGAGGTGTGGTTGAAACTGAGGCAAAGAGTTGACGGCGTGAAGCACAGCCTCGGGACCGGGGTCGGATTTCCTCCTCAGCTGTCGCTCTATTATATTCAGAGTCGCCTTAAACTTGGTTTTATTCCCGCACTGGGAGTCGTTCAGGCTGTAATCTGATTCTGAAGACGCGCTCTGATACAATTCTAATTCTGCCTCTTCGTCACTCTTGCTCTCTTCCTCACTGACCACGTCTTCATCGGTCTGTTTGAGCTCCTCTTCCTCTTCCTCAGATATCCGCACCCACATGAGTTTCATGCCAGGATGCTGCAGGTGACACACACAAGTGCAGTTCTTCTCACATTGAGGTTCCTGATCCGGCCTCAAACTCGCACTCTGCTGCTCGAACTCTTTACCATCGGGAGCTGAAAGTGAGGATACAAGAAGATCAGTCAAAAGTTTTTACACCCCTGCTCATTAAAGGACTTCATTTTGACTCATTTTTACTATTTTACAAGAATAATGAAGACATTACCACTATTAAATAACACTACGCAGTGACGAAAAATATTGTTAATCAAAAAAAAAAAAAAAATTGAACTGATGAAGCTTCATGCTCTCAGCATCTTTTCAACCAGCTTCATGAGGAGGCACCTCTTAAATTTCCCAAATAGGCTGAACCTCGTTGGCTGCTCCTCGGAAGGAAAACCACTGGTTTGGGGAAATCATTTAACTTTAAGGTGGATCAGTGAAGCTAAATTGCCCCTAGGTGTGAATGAGTGTGTGTATTCCTGCCTTGTGCTCAGTGTTCCCAGGAAACACTCCAGAACCACCGACACCCTGACCAGGAAAAAGCACTTACTGGAGATGAATGAATGAATAAATTAACATTTTAAGTCAGAAATAAATTTATACATGGGCATGTCTAAGAAATAAAGCTATCGCCATGGTTACACTGGTAAGGCCTAGCTGGCGTAACATTGCTGCACACAAACTACATAGCGAGCTATGTAACGTATGGAAAAACCACCCTCTGGATCACAATCACAAACAGTCTTCCCAATGAAATGAAACATATAAATAAAAAAGAAACAAATATAAATCAGATTTGTACAGTGTGTGTGTCAGTGTCTGATAGTGGCAAAAACAATGTTTGCACTGTTATATTTTAAATATATCTCAAAGCTGCGACTATCAGCAAATACTTGGAAAATGAGAAAACAAAAACAAGTTAAACACCGCTCAGTGGTTGCTTCATGTCCTGTCTCTGTAATCACCAGGTCTTACTGCAAACAAATGACTTCTAGTCGCTTTGTCACATTGTGTTGATGGTGTTTAAAACATGCTAACATACGACAACATAAACTAACACTCAGCCAAACCACTAATTTATTTCTGAGGTCAAATAAATGATTATTCAGCACTTTCCACCACTTTGTGTTACATTTCCACCACTTTGTGTTACGTTTTATTATTCTTATTACTAGATATTACACAGTACCAATTTAACAGGAAACTCTGTGACACTGTGTGTTTTTACTTCATATACTTATATAGGATATATATTTATACACATTATATACCCCATATACTTCACATACAGTGCATACACTTACTCAGTTTCTTACATTTACAGCATTTGGAAGACGCCCTTATCCAGAGCGACTTAGAAAAGTGAAAGGACATTATGTTCAGCTTTTTTTTTCCCCCCAACTGGCAGTGCTGGGATTTGAACTCATGACCTTCCGATCAGTAGACCAATGCCTTAGCCACAGAACTACCAACTACCCATGCTTAACCTTCAGCTGTTGATCATGTCTGCTGTAATGAAAGCTTCTGAAGACCACGACTGCACTGCAAAAACGACCACAGGAATGTGTTTAAAGCTAAAATTAAAGCTAATCTCTTTCTCAAATCCTTTAATCCATGAGCTTTGTGTAACAAACAGCAAATAAGAACAAATCCTTCATAAATCCTTCAGCGAAAACACAGTACAAAGTGTTACAAAGCAGTGCTTCACTTAGAGGGCAAACACTGTGAAAGAAACATGTATATTTTCTTGATATGGTGAGGTTTACTGTAAGGAGACGCTTATTTAACATTTATTTATGGAAGGAGTCTCCAGTGTCAGCACTTTGTAACAGTCAGTAAGTTGTTTTTTTTTTTTTTTTTGGACTTGAGAGAAGGTTGTTGAGGGAACTACTGTTTCTAGCTCAGTGAAAACAGGAACTAACTTGTTTTGTACATTATGTAACAAAAAATGGACAAAAAGTACAACGTGTTGTTCAGTAATACATAATGAGTTGTTAGGAGGGTAATAACTTCGCTTCATCACTACCACATTATTGATTATTTTCCTATAATAGCAAATACACATGGTTTTCAGCCATTTTGTATGAGGTGTAGGTTTATTGGGATTTTCTTTTTAAATATTTTTGTAAACATTTAAACAGTTTATTGTCATTTTCCAGACATGAACCCGCACTGTCTCTCAGATTCTCAAAGTAATGACATTTCTGGTGTTGCTACTTGCATACCTAGAGTTCCACAAGTTCACTTCTCTATATAGAGGATCAGTTTGAGTATAACGATATATATGTATATTTTTGGATGCATCAGTTCTACCAGAACGTTCTTGTTTTTTCTAAACCCACAGACCCTCATTCCTGTTTACACCCCAAACACATGCAAAAATCCTCCATTCCTTACTCCCAGCTGCTCAGACTTCCTCCAGAAATGTAGACATGCAAATATTTTTCTTACCGTGCATTTCCTCAAGAAGATCTGTGCAATCCTATTGAGAGAACGGATCCACCAATGCATAAACAGTCTACCAGCAAATAAACACAGAGATCTGCTTGCCTGCTTAGTTATCAGCCAACTAATAAAACATTAACCTGGAATATGTTTATAGTGAAATAAATGTAGAACGCCACTGTCCAAGATGTGATATGTGCAGCTCTATTGAGAAGAAATAGCTAAAAGGTCGACGCCTTGCTGAACCTGAATGGCTGGATGTGTAGCTCCTAAATAATGCACCAGCCAGAAGAAAGGTATTTAAAAACTAGACCGCAAAAACTAGATGGGTTTTTGGTTACTATTATTATAGTTGTGATTTGATTATTACAATTAACTTATAGTTAGTAAGTCTAATTGATGGGTTTTTGATTAGTTACTAAATTAAACCAGTCACTAACATGTTTTAAAAGGTCCATTTCTTAATCGAAACTTTACTTAAGATCTTTTTAAAAAAATTAAAGTGAATGTAAGTCCTCATTCACACCACCATCCATTTTAAAGTCTAATATATAGAAATACTAATTACCTCTTTTGGCTGATTTTAAAAACGTTGCTATTCGACAAATAAAAGCCGATGTTTTGTATATTTGCTCGCCTTTCTTGTTGTGTAATTGTAGCTTCCACAGTTAATATTGCGCATAATGGTCAAAAATGGGAGCTGCAGCAAGCGCTAATAGAGGCCCACTGGGGCAGGAATCACGCTGCCCCATGCTCGGGCAAGGAAAAGCGGACAAACAATAAATGGAACTGCTAAAATGGGCTAGTTTTAAAATAGGCCACAGCCACTAAGGTCTTGTTTTATACAGTAGTAAATAATCAGAATGAAATCTAATACATTTCCACAAACAAAGGCAAAGTGTAAGTGTGTCTGTGATGTACAGAACCATTTCTACTGTAATATATAAGGAAAAGATTGGGAGAGGAAAAGGACGATAATGGAGTGGATAATGTCCTTGCATTAGAAATGCGTGCGCACCACGGTGACCTTGTTTCTCTACGCAAAGCCTGAGAAGAAGAAGATCAAATGCATCTTCATTTTCCAATGTCTGAATTTTTTGGTCTGGATTCAGATTTTTTCAGGAAGTTGAACAAATGTATGTCTAAAACCACTCAAAACGAGCTGCTAGACTGTACGCTCGATGACTGTATGTTGCCTATTACAGGGTTATGCTAAAAATTCACTAGATAGTTTGAGGCTATGTCGTCATTAATGTCATCCTGCACGACCTAAATCTATGTTCATGAACCGCTGCTGATCTGAGTGCAAAAGGTTGGAGAACTCCTGGACTAGACCATGATCAGTGCATGAAATAAAATAAACTACTAGTTAAATACGCAGACTTCATTACATGAGCTCTTACATTAGTGCCACACCTGTCTGCTCATGACATTCTTTTCATTTCATCTACAATCCCTGGCTATTTTAAATTGTATTCTCTTTTTTTATGGTGCTTCACATGCAATAATGTGCTAAAAGCTGATCAGTTTTCATCACTCATTACTTCCTGCATCAGTGCAAGAGTCCTTTATTGTATCGTTGCGAAAAAAAAGCTGTACATCAAGGAAAGCAAGAGAAAATTCTTTGAGTGTTTTTTTTTTTTATACTACTATTTTTATACTACCAGAACGAAGGATTTCCGCCTTCTAGCAATGAACGTAGCATTAGTGACATCTCTGTTAGCAATAGAGGTGTGTACTGGGATTGGGATCCTGTAAGACCTACTAAAAAATTTATGCTACGACATACGGTAAACCCGAGCTGGGAATATCCTCAGTTCGTGCCCCACTTTCAGTTCTGCATGCCGTAAATCACCCAGCTCATTATTTTCAGAAACAGATTCCACTTCCTGTAGTGATCCTGTACATAAAGAATGCCACACTGTCTCTCTCTCTCTCTCTCTCTCTCTCTAAGGGAACCTCCAGTCCTGTTATTAATAATCACATACCTACGGAGGACAAGAAGTAGGGCAAAGCAGTAGCTGTGAGAGAAAACATGACCAAAAGGAAATATTTACAGAGAAGGAAGACAAATTAATGGCCCTATGAGTAATATCAGGTGCCAGGTTTCACTTTCACTCTTTCACACTTTCAGACTAGCCTTAAAAGGTTTAGATTTCATTAAAAAAAAAAAAAAAACCACCCTTCGCCTCAAGGGATCTGAAATTTGATCCTTCTGTATCATTATCTATAGACACACCTACTGACCTACAAACCTTGCGCAAAAGAGTGGGCTTTTATGGAGCTACACTCTCGGAGATAAAGCTTAAACCTAGAACTTAAAGGGTTCTTCAGTTTGTCCCGTAGGAGAAACCCCAAAAGTAGAGCCACATTAGCAAACCTCGAATCCCTGACTTATCCAAAGACCCTGCGAGAAGCCATTTATTTCTCAGAGAGTATGATGGATAACGAAAAATGGCATCTCTGTCAATTCGTCAAGCATGTTTTAATTTCTTATAAAGATTACTGAACTATGGTTTTAGATTTTTTTTTTCCTAACAAAACTAACAATTATATAAAGCTTTAATAGTACAGTAAGATGTGTTTAAAGAAAAATATTTGGATTTAAATGTTGGATGCACTTTAATTTATTCAAAAGCATTAAATTAACTACATTTAAACACTTGTTTAAAGTCAACATTAATTAAACATCTTGGCCTCAGAAATGTCATGCATGTCATGTGACAATGGTTTACAAAAAAAAATCCTTTTTTAACTGAACTGTAAGAAGAAACATTCGCTTTTATTTATTTATTTATTTTTGTGTATTTCTGAAAAATCATGATCCTACATGGATTAGAATATTAAAGGGAAAAAATATAAATATATACAAATAAAAAATTTTAAAATATGTCAAATACTGTATTTAGAAAGTTACGTACACATCAATTATTATAAAAATATTTGCTTGAATTGAGTAAATTTTGTGCCTTTTAATCAAAATTACTTACAAATAGGCTCAAAATGGGCTCATTTACAGTAAATATGTTTCCTTAACTGGTTTAACGTTTGATTAAAGTACGAGTCGTACAGTAATATGTGTAAGAAGAAAGGTTTTCTTTTTTTCCTTGAGTTTCTGTAAATAATAATCTTATGTATGCATGGATTAGAATTTTTAAAATGTATAAATCAGAACAATAATCATGAAATTACAAATTCAAATATTTGGACTGTTTGGTGCATTTTTTTCCCATTTATTCAAAAACAATAACGTAAGTAAATTTTGTACTTTTTCATCAAGATTAATTCCTAATATCCTGTAAATTGTCTTTTGAGGTGATTACAGTTTAAAAAAAAAAAGTATTTCTTTAACTGGATTATAATTACATAAATTTATTTGCGTAATATGTAATTTCTATAAATAATGCTCTTAAATATATATGTATATACACGCATATGCTCCATTTAGTACTTAGTTTCATCAAGATTTCACTTTTGGTTTTAACATTTGATCACAGTATCAGTAGTACAGCGATGTGTTTCTGAAAAAAAAAAGATTCATTTCTTTTAGATTTGAATATTTTTGATAAATATTCCATCGTTTTCCATTTCACTTCAAGTTATATACTGTATATAATTGTGTATGTGACAAATATAAATCTTGAATCTTGAATCATCAATCCTCGTCCCTAAACATGAGCCGGTGAAGCCGCTGTTTGCGTAGCCCACGTTAACCCTAAAATCCAGTGATATTTGGTGTTTAAAATTTCTCCAAACACACATATTTAAGTGTTTGTTGCTCACCTCTGTTGATAAGATCATTATCACTCGTCTTTGTGTCTTCATCACGCTTAAACCTGGACCATTGCCCTTTAACACTCTTAGAGCTGGCATTTATCAGCGCTGTTACTTTCTTCTGCACTGAGCTTCTGTGTTGTGAAGATCCTCCATCATCCACAGCGTCCAGAACGTTCTGTTTAAACTTACTCAGCTTTCTCTTTATACTCTCGGCCATTTTTCTGCCACTTTCACCCAAAAAAATAATAAGAGGAC